GCGAGGGGGCGGGAGGGAGCTGCGGCCGGTCTTCACATGTAAAATTTAGTTACATGTGCAGCTACCCCGAAGGTAAGACCTAGCGCTATCTTCAGGGATTTCTGTAATATAAGACCTGCCACCGAACTAGGTCTTATTTTCGGGGTAGGTCTTATATTACAGAAATCCCCGAAGATAGCGCTAGGTCTTATTTTCGGAGTAGGTCTTACTTTTGGGGAAACACGGTATTTTGGATTTGGTAACCAGCGCATTCTGCGCATGCACACCGCTATCCTGGAGGCGGGGAGCATGACGTCACATACCGCACACGACCGTTGGGGGGGGCACAATTTTCTATTCTTGCCTCGGGCGTAAAAGGAGCTAGCAACGGCTCTGATCTCCCGCATAGCTTCAGAGGATGAAGAGAGCCATTGGCAGGTGCAGAACGTCTGCTTGTTCCTTTTCACGTCAGCACCGAGTGTTCAGAATCGCAGACGAGAGTCCTACGGAGAATAACTGACTCATGAAATCCGCGCTATAAATACAGCCGAGCCGTCTAATTTTTCTGGAGTGTCACTTTAATTACGCCCCTGTAGGGTCTGCCCCTCTATTTTAAAGCTTTGTGCACGCAGAACTGACGGAGTAACAAAAGACTTTCATTACCCTCGTGTGTACCGAATAATGAGAATCAAATATTCCGCTCCCTCGCTGAGCGCGTCCAGCTTTGCTGCTATCAGATAGGAATAAATAAAATCAGTTATTGGAAATGAGTTATGACAGGAGGGGGAGCGGGGGGTGACATTAACAGGATGAGTGAGCGGCGGCGGCGGTGGCGGCCTGTATTGAAAATGGGAGAGATCTGACATGAGCCAACAATGTAACAACGTATCACCGCTGTCTCTCTAAACCTCCGCTGTGTAACCACTGACCTTGGAGGATAATGGAGAATTTCCCAGCGCTGAGAAATAACAGGGACTCCTACTGTTTATTCTGCAAGGGCACTTTGAGTTATTATTTTAACGTTCGCCTTTCATTTTTAATTCGTTATAAACTTGATGCGTCGTATTTTTTTATGATTCTATTCATAGGATTCCTAGGTGCTCCCTCTAGTGGCGGTTTGTATGACAGACAGCCCAGCGAGCATCTCATGCAGAGCTGGCCTTGGTTTCAGTGAAAGTCAACTGACAGAGCTGTGTATTGCACAGATGGGAACTAGCACCATTCAGAGCGATGGCTGAGCTGTGTACTGACATTGACATTGATATAAGGCATAGGTGCTGATAAAAAAATTTCCCCGACCCGCAGAAAATGATTGTCATCTCAATTGAAGAATCTCCTTCCTATTTGGAACTAGAATGTGACAATTGTATTTCTCATTTATTGAGCCTTTGTAGGAGAACTCGCCTTCCGTATAGTAACTGTGATGTTGGGATGATTACCTCCCCCCGGGAACACAGCGGGGTTCTAGTAAACAGAAAGGGATTATGGTTGGAAGCTGAGAAACATCTCTCATTATTTGTCTGTTTTACAGCCAATGGAAGAATGCAACGGACCCATTTCTCCAACTAATTCTGGCGAACCGACCAGTGACCCTTCACAGCCAGGTAATGGCAGGATCCATTCTGTGTGAAACTCTATTATTTGTTGTCATCATATAAAGAATGCGTTATTAAGCTGTCCTTGTAATGGGAACTGGTAAAGGGGTCAGTGCAGCCATAACATTGATTATCTGGTTACAATGGCAACTGGAAGTGGGGGGGATATATTAAAATGACACCTAGAAGTGGGGTGGGGAGTATATTACAATGGCACCTGGAACTGGTAAAGGGGTCAGTGTGCAGCCAGTGAGCATTTTGTTCCTGAAGTTGATGTATTGGAAGCAGACATAATGGACAAGTGTGAGGATTTGAGGGACTTTGGCAAGGACCAAATTGTGATGTCTAGACGACTGGGTCAGAACAGCTTGAAAACTGCAGCTCTTGTGGGCTGTTCCCGGTCCCCAGTGGTGAGGAGCGACCAACAGAGGTCCAAGAAAGGAAAACCGTGAACTAGTGACAGGGTCATGGGTGGCCAAGGCTGATTGATGCACATGGGGTTTGAAGGTTGGCCCGTGTAGTCCCATCCAATAGAAGAGCTGCATTAGATCAAATTGCTGAAAAAGGTAATGCTGGTTCTGATAGAAAGGTGTCTAAACACACAGAGCATCGCAGTTTGTTGTGTACGGGGCTGTGTAGCCATAGACCTGTCAGGGTGCCCATGCTGACCCGTGTCCACCACCAAAAGCACCTACAATGGCCACGTGAGCATCCGAACTGGACCACGGAGCAATGGAAGAAGGTGGCCTGGTCTGATGAATCACATTTTCTTTTACATCATGTGGATGGCCGCGTGCGTGTGTCCCCCTTCCTTAACAAGAGGTGGCACCTAGTGCCATTGCTGAGAAATTAGACACTTCCTGCCTCCTACTGCCCGCAGAGCTAATCGGCTGAATATGGCAATCACTGGCTAAGTGTCAGACATGATGGTCGGACGGAATGCAGGAGGCGTGGCTTCTTCAGCTGACATTTGTCCTTCTTTTTTCCCAGCCACTTGCTGTCAGAGACTGCGCACTTCCCTCCAGAGGGTCTTCTGCCGTTCTAGTGCTGAGGACGCCAAAGTACAAGACGCACCGCAGGTATGTAGTAATATCACCTCCGGGGTCTTTAGTGAAGTGAAGCCCTCTATACAATATACCCTGTAGAGGGGCAGCCTGCTTTTGGTGCACGCTATAAAGTTGGGGGGGGGGTGTGGCCTCTGCATCCGGACGCCGGCCAGAGCATCCCAGGGGAGAAGTGTATGGTCCTTATACATCTCCCTTCACGGCTATTAGCAACCCGGGAGGCTCTAGCTAGAAAGGGGGTGGCAGACACACTGTGAAGCAGAGCGGCCATGCCGCTTTGCCTGATGACCCCCCACGTGACCCAAAGAGACGTCCCCCGAGGCAACAGACTCAGGCTGCCTCATTATATCATTTATTTTTTTGCATTGCTTGTGTATCTGACCAAAATTCACCAATACACGGTGTGAAAAGTACTGGACTGGAATAAAAGTCAAATTTTTTTGGATTTAACAGGAATCTGAGCCTGAAGACCCGATGACACCAGAGGAGGTGAGAGACCCCGAGAGCGTCAGCTCCCTGCTACATAACTGCTCAAATAAACACAGAGGGGGGAATTTATCAAAACTGGAGCATACAAAATCTGGAGCAGCCGTGCATGACAACCAATCAGCTTCTCTCTTTCATTTTCAAATCTTAAATGAACAAACTGAAGAGAGGAGCTGATTGGTTGCCATGCACAGCTGCTCCAGACAGGGCTGCCATCAGGGGGGTACGGCCAGTACTGGTGTAAGGGGCCCAGGCGGCTAGGGGGGCCCAGGCTCCAAGTAAGCATTTTTGTTATAGATTATTATGGACAGATGAATTAGTTAGCTTCCGGGCCCCCCTGTGCTATTGGTACCTTCCTGATTATGTTCAGGGGCGGAGCTTTTATTCCTGGGCAGAAGCACCGAAGACCAAGGCTGGAGTGGAGCACAGCTGCTGCCTCCTTCTTCCTTTCCTTAGTAAAATGAGACACCGTCCGATCGATGGTCCTCCTGAGAGACACCATCGACACTGAGAGGGGGGGGGAGTGAGAGACACTGACTGATACTGAGAGGAGGGGGGAAGAGTGAGCCTGAGAGACACCATCGATGCTGAGAGCGCGGGGGCGAGAGACACCGACCGACGCTGGGGTGGGGGCAGGCCTAAAGCTGTGTAAGGGGCCCCACAATTCCTGATGGCTGCCCCAGCTCCAGATTTCCCCTGCTCTAGTTTTGATAGATTCCTCTCATAGTATATGCAACCTGCTCATAGACAGACCTGCACTGAGATAACAGGAACAGAAGAAAGAAAGCGAGGATATGTCTTCTGCCATGTACTAAATCATTGAAAACTATATGTACAGACAATATATGTATATTTTTTTTTAAAGCAGGCATTATAGATTCAGATTTGTTGAAATTTCGGTAAAATGTCCTATATTCCTATGAAATGTTACCTTTTTTGGCAAAATGCATAGTCACGAGGGAAGGCGTCATTAATGTTATTTAAGTTAGTTTCTTAAATGTTCTCTTTTTTCTTTTTTTGCTTATTTTTTATGTGATTTTTTTTCTTTCTTTTCTTTTTTTTTTCCTTTCTTAATTTTTTCATGTAATTTCATAAAAAAATCAACAAAAATAGTAACTTATAATGTAATTTCTCTATATAATGTCTCTATAAATGTATAATTTATACATTTATAGAGACATTACACAAGATAGATCAGTGTTTTTTTTAACTTTTTTTATTTTTTGCTTATTTTATGTTTTTTTTTTTTTTTGCAGGGTTCTTCACAAAACGGTGAAGAGTTTGGAGAAGGCCGGAGATGTGAACAATCTAGGCCAGAATAGCTGATCTGGAAAAATTCTGCAATTCAGCTCACTTTCCAGTTCAGTTATGTTGTCCTAGATTGTTCTCTTCTCCGGCCTTCTCCAAACTCTTCACCCTTCTGTGAATAACCCTGTAAAAATGTATTTTAACATATAGCATTAAATAATGTAAAAAATTGGAAAAAAAAATTAATATGTTCATATGTTCGTATGTATTATCTCTCTTAGTGATCATTTAGCACCTTTTTCTGCAGTGTAGAAAATCTCAAATAATAACACAATACATAAAAAAGCATGAGAAAAAAAACCGGGAAAGCACACCAAGTTTACGTTTTTTTTTTGTTTTTGGTTATATTTATATTTTAATTATATTGGGCATTATAATTATTCCTAATCATGCACAATGGGGTTTAACAAAATAACATAAACCAGGTTTTTTTTTTTTTACCTTTTCTATGTATCTTGTTATTTTATTTTTTTTTACAATTGTTGCAAGCTTTATTTATAAATATAAGCCATGTCCTTGGTGCTCGTCAGCAGTTTTGTTGATAAAATAGCTATTTGCATGTTTGCAAATCCCATGGCTTTTGTTTCTCAATAAAGCAAGGTCACACAGCAATCTTTAACCACTTCAAGACCAGGTGTTTAGACCCCCTTCCTGGCCAGGCCATTTTTCAGTATTCAGCGCTGCGGTACTTTGACTGACGTTTATTCTCTCTGTCTATCTAGAGGCAGGGCCAGCTGTACCCGCCCCCTCCCCCATCCGTTCCACCAGTCAGCGTTGGAGGAACGGGGAGGGAGGGGGGAATCCCTGCAGGGAGCCATGAGTGACAGTTACAGCTCTCTGCAGGGACATGATTGAGAAGTGAGCGAGCGACGGTATGTGTTCGCTCACTTCCCGTTCTATTGAGCCGACGTGTGACAGTTTCATTGTCACAGGTCGGCTCGAACTATGAGGAGGAGTGGTTTTCATTCACCTCATAGTTCTCCTTTAAAGACCTCAAATGCCAATGCTTTTATTTTTTTCTAAGTTTGCCTTTGGGTACTGCAAGGTTTTGAAGAAATTTTACAACAAAAATTGGAAGAAACATTTCGGATGCAAAATCATGTTTGCCAAAACCCGCTGCTCATCCCTAGTGAGAATGATTATTATTATTGTATTTCCATCAAACAGATAACATTTACATGTACAGATATTATAGATTCCCTGTAGCTGCCTTTAAGTGAATGGGAAATGGGAACTATCAGAGGATTGTCATTGACCAGATACATTACAAATTCGATCTTTTTAGATTGCAGTTTGGGAACAGCAGGAGCTCGGGAAGATCGCCTCCTTTGACAGCTGTTTAATAGACCCGTCACCGTTCCAGCTGGTGGAGAGGACCTCCCTTCATAAGGTGCGTCACACAGCCCTTGACCTGGGATTCTGGGAGAGACAGGATGGTGGCCATCTTATTTGTAGAGATACAGCCAGAGCCACCTATTACGGGGGGTGAACAGTAGCAGTTGTGTATTTTCTAACCAGTTTGACTGGTTGCCTCCTACAATTGTGGTTGGCCACCAAGCAACTGATAGACCTATCAACACCATTGAGCATGTTGAATGTTGATCCATCGAGTATTCAATTGCCTTTGTGGACCAGGAAGGAATTATTTTTCCCTGTTAGAGAAATTTCAAATGGCTGTTTGGTCATCAAGCCCTCCCTCGTAGAAGCCATGGTTTCCCTACACTGCACTTCACTTTTTGACTGGTTGCCTTCTACAATTGTGGTTGGCCACCAATCAACTGATAGACCCATCAACACCATTAAGCATATTAGACACATGGATGTAGAATGTTGATCCATAGAGTATTCAATTGCCTTTTTGGACCAGGAAGGAATTATTTTTCCCTGTTAGAGTAAAGTCAAATGGCTGTTTGGTCATCAAGCCCTACCTCGTGGAAGCCATGGTTTCCCAACACTGCACTTCACTGTTTGACTGGTTGCTTTTAACAGTGGTGGTTGGCCACCAAGCATTTGATAGGCCCATCGACACCATTAAGCATATTTGACACCTCTGTGTTAGAACGGCTTTTGTTACAGTAAGACCTGCGAAAATGTGACATAGACTTCCATGGGAGCTGGTTCTGGCCAAGATGGCAGACTGCTTCTAAAAAAGGCCGGGCCTGTCTTTAAATGCACCCAAACATATATTTTTTTAAATCCCGCAGTGGGCGTCCAAAAACTAAACACCACAGTGAACAAAAAAGTGCATGTGAACACACACAGAAAAGTGCACTAGGGTGTGACAATGGTCCATCTCCCGAAGAGATAGGGCCCTTCTCTGACCCCAGAGAGCAAGACTCCTGACAGGGCCAAAACCAGGCGGTCCCATTCCCCATGGCCAGTGGAAGCCAACCACCGAGTACTAGGTTGGAGGTTCTCCCAAAGAGAGACCACTGGTTTAAGGGAGGAAGGAACCTAATGGCCGTACATCCTCGCCCTAAACTTCAGGGTAGACCCAAAGACCCACACCCTCCATCCACGTGGAGTGAAAAGGACACACATATAAAAAGTGAAAACAAGTGAAGAAAATAAATAAGTGCAAAAGTGCTAGACAATGAAAAGGCCTTGTGGTCCACGGTATAAAAAATGTCCCAAGAGGCAATGTGCAGAATTTTTTTTAGTGGTTTCGTGGCCAATGTGCCACACAGTGGGGTCCCAAACCCATAGTGCTGCTTAGGCATCCCCAGGGCACCACTCCCAGAGGGTGCTCTCTGCCTTCCCAGCCCGTGACCAGACTGTGTAGACCTATTCGAATCAGGAGGCACTGGGCCCTGCCAGATCCTGGACACCAGAGAAATACCGACCCCCACTCTCAAATGAGTGGACATTCAATTCAGTTTCCTTAACCCCGGCCAGGACCCTTTATGACCCTCATCAGCTCAGACAGGGTACTCTTCAGCCAGCCATTCTTACCATAAGGCTGGAATAGCGGCACATTTCCCCTCCTGAACACTGATAAGAACGGATACTACGCTTGATCTTTGACAAAAGGCCAACAAGCGATACTGATGAAGGCCAAAACTCCTGAAGCAGCTGTATGCAGTTTGGGCTTCGTGACTCTATAACATTAAGCTGTATTTGCATCATAGACCAGTGGTTCTGGATGATCATCGGGCTGATGGGGCCTAGAGGAATGATTTGCATGACTCCACCCACTGTCCTGAAATGAGGCTTAATCCCCTAATTTTGGGCATTTGTGAGAATGAGACATGTGAATACCGAACTATGCAGCTGTGTTTTCTGTATGTGAAGAGTGCTCCTTGAGGTCTCATCCACGTCCTTTCCTCCTTGTAGACCCATACACTGTTTTCACTGCTCGGCCTCAGCCAGGCTTATATCACCAGTGGAGGGAAGCTCAGGGGAGTCATCGCTCTAAAGGAGGTAGGTAAAGGTTTCCGTAATTGACCATGAAAATTAATTATAATTAAATAAGGAATCCACCGCAGGAAACTAAGAAGAAAAATTTATATCACATCATTGT